GTTCATTGCTTTTGAAGATGTTGAAAATGCACAGAATTGAAAGGCATTAAAGAAATAGGAAAAATTAATAAGAAAAACTTACTTGAGTTTCTAGCTCGCTTACAAAAGGGTACTGTAACACGTTTCACTTTTATTGAACATATGATGACTTCCAGACAGAGGGATAACTGTACCGATCCCGATGTATTTTATAAGATTTTAAATTTCAGTTTTTGAGATGAAATATATCATGCTGTTTCAATGTACAGTGCCATCAGCTCTAAAAAAAAAAAAAAAAAAAGAAAAGTCATACAACTAATAAATAATCAAAACCCCGCCTCACAAAATTCTAAATATTTTAAATTAATCATCCTGAGTATTTATGCGAAGTAAATAAAAGGCCAAGGTCAAAAAAACTTCAACGATAGTACTTTTTACATTGTTTTATGACAAGCATGCAAAATAGCATAAATTAACCTAATAATGTTCAGAAGTATGCTGTATATCGGCACTAGGAACAATTTTGAAAATAGGTGAAAGGCCAATATCAAGGCTCACAAGGTCAATCGCCATGATATTTTCAAAAAGCCATTGTGCCTTGCATATCGCAGTACAGTTAAGGTGACAAATGGAAATATCGGCGAATTTCTTATATAGAAAATACATTCTTTACAAGGATGGGCGATTCTTTTTAGGACTTTACTATTATTGGACAAATGTAATGTAATGTGTACATATTGGGGACGATTAGATTTCTTAGCTAGACTTGTGACGTAATGTGGCAGTCACATGTTTTTAGCAAATATACCTGCAGTATTGAGGTCATCTATAAATTCCAATATTGCAAGGGCATAACCAAGTTAAAAATCTAAGTTTGTTTTATAATTATTTTCAACACACACTCTTTGTAGTTTGTGAAAAGTGCTGCGAACCTATATAGATTCTACTATATAATTGCTAAAATTATGTTTGTTAGACTATGTTGAATATTTTGCTGGTCAAGTACAATAAATATTATAGATATAATTAATTCATTTGCAAGATTTCAGGTTCGCAGCACTTTTCAAATATCTTCAAACCTCTTGAGTTTATGTGTAAAAGCTTGTCATAGTTCACTGAGGGTATGCCCTTGCAATATATCGATTTATTACGACCGTTCTATTACCCTTCAATGTATCTGCATACAAATTTTCATCAGTATCGCTTGTCTAGGAAATTTACGGGAATTATATGAATAAAATCATAAAATAGACATCGCATCCAAGTTAATGGCCTTTTATATATCTGCAAATATATTTTATTTAGTTACAAAATACATTTTTTATTGTATAAAATATAACGTGATCCGCCTCACACTGCACACAAACTGCGTCAAACTCTACGATATGACGTCACATTGACAAGTGCATTGCGATCAATGAACTGTTTATATATTACTGTTTGGGATTTCACCAATGACAAAAATACATGCAATAGTAAGTATTGATGTAGTTTAAAGCTATCCAACAGTTTAAAATAGGAAATCATTTCATTTTGTGGTAATTTGAAGAACATCTAATTTTGTGTGATGTCATAGTAAGCATGTCCCTTAAAAATTAGACCCGGCCTCCTTATTGCAGCCTTAACTGTGCTGCGATTTGTTTGAAAATCAATACAAATGACTCACGGTCTTTGAGGACTTCCTAGGCATGAGAGATTCCCACTCTGGACTTTCCGGGGTCGGTGTTATATGCTTGTTCATAGATATATATTTTTTGCAGTTTTTTTCCGAGCTCGATCAGTGTCCGTTGTCTTCATCTATTCATCCATATCTCTTTCGGTTCTCGAAATATAAGATATGACAGGACAGACAGACAGCTCTTCAGGCGAGACAAAAATGGAATGGTACAGTTTCTAAGATACGATGTGATCCCTGTACAGATAACTTGACTCACGTGGACTGTTGTTTATGTTCAATTAATCTGTGTTAGCTTTATAATGGGAAAACATTTCTGAAGCTTCCAAAGAGCATGATGTTGCAACTCTTAATTTAAGGAAATCCGCGTTTGTGTATCCCAGGTTTGAAATTCATTCCAAGAGTATTGTGAAAATATTGTAATACTTTAACTGTCCATTATGTCCAAATTCTACTACTTCAGACAAACACCAGACATATCACTTTATATTATGTTTATTTTACAGCTCAAGAATTCAAAATACGAACCAATGACACATTGACTTTGCTAACAAGAACTTTACAACGACCATAGAACTTACGAAATACTGAGTTTAAACTAAGTTTTTTGAAGCCCTACAACATCAAATTTTGTAGTAGGCTGTTTCGTTTTAAAAATTGAGAGTACCTAAAACATACTCTTCAGTATCGAATAAGTTGGGAGACAGAAAACGAAATATCATCTCATAGATGAGGAACGTTGACGCTGGAAAAGCTGAATGCATCTAGTTTGTCAAACAATTTCTTTGTTAGTTGGCCCTTAGGCCAAAAAAAAATAATAGTCTTGTTTCCTGCTACCAGCCTGAAAAAAAAAATAGGGTAGGTAGGTAGGAAAAATATTTTATTTTATATTTTTATTTTATTTTTTTTTCTGACAGCATTTTTTGGATATGAACTAATACAAGATAAAATTAAACATGTCACAGGTCAATATTGTCTTTTAAAATTGAATTTCATGTCTTTTTATGCACAACTCAAGTGGTATTTTATGAAAGTCCATATTTAAAACAAGAATTTCATGAAATGCTTGTTTTGTGCTAACACAGAAACCGATTACAGTGACAGAACGATGAAAATCCGGAAATTCTCGATTTTTTTTTCCAAAACTTAAAAAAAAAAAACTTTAGGGTCGGGTGCAAAAAAATAGGGTAGGTAGGGTAGCAGGAAACAAGACTATTATTTTTTTGGCCTTATCTTCTATAGTCAGTAAAATATACAAATATGAAGCATATATGACAAACTCGGTGGTGTTTTTATTTAGCAAAATTTTTGAGTTCACTGGATTATATCGAGTCGTCATATGAATGTAAATACCAATTGTTAATTGATAAAACATCTTCGATATCTGAACGTCTAGCTGAAGTCCACAGCAAGCTTTTTATACTTCTGATATAGAATTTCTTAAATAACATCTGTTTCATTGGAATAAAGAAATAGACCAGCTAATATAAAAAAAAAATTAATTAGCGCCCCATTGAATTTGAACAATTGCAGTTTATTGGAGGACCCGGTCACCAAGGACTACATGCACATAGATGTTTTTAATTAATAACTATCATCCTTTTTATATGAGTATTTATGTGTTAAATCAATATGCATTTTTACAAAGTAATTTTGTTAATGCATTCATTCTTTGATAAAAGGGCCAATTCAGGGTACATAACATGAAAAAAAAACAACAGTTGTTTCAGATAGCCAGCTGAACAATGTAAATCACTAAGGGACTTATAAGTGCACTTGAAAAAAAAATTACTCACAAATCTTGTATCGTTAACTTTTTACAACAAATTCAATATTCCATTTATTTCTTAATATGAAAACTTCGGTTGTCAATCAATCAGTAAACTCCGCTAAGGAAATGACCTGTATAGATTCCTTGAGTAGCGGCTGTTCCATCGATGAAACATACAATGATGTACATTTTAATAATATAATTTTTAACATACTTAATTCTACTTTATATGTTTATGTTTACAGATATAAATATAAACGCGGATTATGCATTTTTTCTGAAACATTTTTTCCCGTACTAATAATCAAAGAAAGCATTTTTTTGTTGTTAAATATTTTCTATTTCAAATGTATCTGAATACTAATCTGTCATAAAGACGGTGTTCTCTTACGACAAATATTGTGATATTTGAGAAATCTATATGTACTTTACATATGTTATTTTTAATAATGACCCATTGACCTTCAGTCACGAACAGCTGTTCAGTAAATAGTCTATTTTTATACAATAAACCAGAAAGGCTCAATGAATATTTTTTCTATGATGAGCAAACATTTTAGAGTCCTTGGACTATTAAACTTATTTGAATTTACTTGGATGCATACCTCTAATTATTTTTAGAATCGGTAGAGGAAGAAAGTAGTTCACTAAAACGAAATAGTTCCTTAACTTTCAAGCAGTATATAAAATAAGTAGGTCATCTGAACTAAAGATGCTTGATATATATGAAAGAAAATTCCGCATTCACAACCATTTTCATTTTTGTGTCACCTTTGAAAGGAAAGGAATTGAATTGTTTGATATGTGCATACTCTGACTTTGGGAATTACCCTACTTTTACTTTCATTTTCAGATGTTTTGCAAGCATGTGCATTTTGCCGGAAACAAATCTGACATGCCACCTCGACATTTTTTACCAGTGAGAGAGAATTTGACGAAAATTAGGAGAGGAGCTGTGTGAGAAAACGTTAACATTGTCACCTATGGGAAATGTATTAGTGAACTGTACCCACTTTCTTTTTTTTTTATTTCCGTCAAATAAATGCTTAATCATAAATTGATTTAATTTTACATGAAGGATTCATATTTCCAAAATAAATTCATAACTTTTAAGGATTCACTTCAGATAAAGAGATATGAAAAGGAATTGTGTCACCTGAATAGAAATTAGCAATGTTCCACGAAATTGTTAGGTTCTCAGCGGAGAGTTCTGCATTTCACTGAGACCAAACCCTTTATTAATCAGAATTAGAACATAAAAAGATTTAGAGCATCGCTGCCTGCTACCAAAATATTCAGTTTGCTTCTGAGGACGTTCACTTTATGTTCGATGCCTTAATTTGCAAAGGAAACAGTTAACATATCAATCTTCTCATATTACATTCTAATTACTGTGTTAATAGTATATATATAGAGGAGCATTTGATGAGAAAGACTGTACAGTGAATAACGATAAAAAAATATTTAAATCATATTCCAAAAATGTAAGTATTTTGTAGAATTTTTAGAAATCTTTTATCACAATATTATTAACAATTTTTAAATAAGAAAATATTTTATGCAAATATCTTCAAATAGGTTAAATCTGCTAAAGACGACTCTCCCCTTTTTATGCATACTGCTTGAAGTGTGTACAAAAGAAACTCCTCAAGACTTCATCAGTAAATTCAACAAGTACAACAACGTATGTCAAGGAATGGGATATAAAACAATGAATTGTTCTGAAGGAGATAAAAGTACTCAATTACTTAGAAATTTAACTGCTCTCTTTCTAGAATGTTTAGCATATCAAAATGTTAAAATATTATATTAAATATACATTGAATGCTTTTGTTCATATCAGAAATTTTATATCATGCTTTTTTGAAACGTAACATTATACTAACAAATGTAAAATTGAATGTAGGTAAGATTATTTTTTTAAATTAATATTTCCAAATCATCTACTCTGTGTACGGAATTTGATAAAAGTGTGTTATTTTTTCTGCTGTTGAATATAAAGCGTAACATATTGCATTTGTTTTGAACAGACATCATTGCTTTTCATACACGTTTGTCTAAACGACAAGAAAATCTTGGAAAGAGTGTTGTTGTTGTATTTGGAAAAATTATACTGAACACTGGAAATGCCTATGACGGCATGACTGGTAAATTCACAGCACCTGAGGATGGTATCTACTCATTCACGTGGACCATGCTTACAGCACCTGGAAAATATTTTAACACAGAAATTGTCCTCAATGGTAACATAATTGGTTATAATTTTGTGGACGGCGCCACAGGCAGTTCTCACCATTCTTCCGGATCTTCATCAGCTATAATTAAAATGAAGAAGAAAGATGAAGTCTGGATAAGAACATATGGTGACAATGGAAAGTTTGCTTACGAAAACTGGTCATCCTTTTCCGGATTTAAATTGTAAATTAATGTTTCAAATAAAGAATATTCAACTGTTGAATATATGTATCTTCTTCATAGTCATCTTTGGATATATTTAGATACATGTATTTAACTAGAGAAGGACATTAATTGCAAATAACTATTAACGTTTATAATAAATGTGATGACTCGAAATTTTATATTGTCAACTTCCCTTATTTATGTACCAGTAAACTATTAACACATGCATTTGGAGTTGATTCGGTACGCAATTGCATGAACATGTATTGAAAAAAAAAAGCTTTAATAAATCGCAGAAATAAAGACCTCTTGACCTTTAAATTTGAACTTTGACCAACACTAACTTACCTCGTTTTAGAAATTGTTCATACGTAGAGCATGCTCTTGCGTATCGAATCAACTGAGATATATACACCCCATATGCAGGTGATGAAGGTATATTGCTGCATAAGTAAGGGAAGTCGACGATTGAAAAGTTAAAGTCATCACGTTTATCATAAAGCTTGGTTGTTAGATTACCATATTTTTCTAGGAAAATATCCAAATATGATATTTTAGTGAGGAGTAAAGAAAGACAATGACTTATTTAATTAACATATGTTAAACAACTTATACTGTATTGCAAAAAATATAACAAGACTACAAAATGAATCCCCGAATAAGTTGCCAGGACATCCTCTTATGTAATCTTTGTGAAGATAATGTGGCAGATAAACTGTAGTTTTTGTCCAGTGAATCTTTGTAAAGTTCGTGTAGGAGAACACATTTCTGATATCTCTAGAAAGCATGATGTGGTACCCCTTAATCTGAGGAAATCCAAGCTTGTGTACCATCAATGTAAAAACCATTTTAAAGAGCCGTGTGAAATACAATGTGAAGACTGTAACATTCCAGTATGTCTAAAATGTGTTACTTCTGAGAAACATGAGGCACCTTCTTTACAAGTTTAGAAGACTTTACTCTAAAGTAAGACTAAAACTCTAAGAAAAAAAAGTTTGGAGAAGGAGAAAATACAATTACAAGAAACAGTTATCTCAACATGTGAAGAAGCAACTGTTTTTGATTTTAAATCCCAGTTAATGAGCAGTTAATGAGCATAGATAAAAATTACGAAAAACTCATAAAAGATGTTACAACTCATGGAGAAAAATGGTACAGAGCAATTAACGTTTTCATCAGAAAAACAACGGACGAAATTCGGGAAATGAGAAACAAACACAGAGATACTCTGTTGAAACATTTAAATATAAATGAAAAATTGACTTTTCATGTCGAACAATCTTTGTCTGAAATTGAGGAAATTCTACAGTCAAATGAAGTTTCAAATTCTCTGTCTTATGAGATAAAGTCGGGGGAATTTTACAAATCGCCACCAAAGATAAATGTTAAGATTCCAGGTTTTACCCCTCTTAAACTTCAAGGAGAGTATTTAGTTATTTTAGTTCTTTCTTGTCATTATCTATCGGAACACAACATGGCTACACAGCGAGGACATGCGAAACTGACTGTACTGCTTGATGTACCAAAGCTCATCTCTACTTTAAAAACTCAGTATGATAAACTAAACTGCGTCACTTGTGTTTGCGATGGAAATCCCCTTACACTTGGGAATGGCAAAATCATAAAACTGTACAAACTCTATGGCAAACTACTTAAGTCAATCAAAAGAAGTCGGGAAACACACCATGCCGGACAGCAGTGACAAGGAATTGATATCTAGTTTATACTGATCCTAAAGCAAGAACTTCAAATGTTGTAAAGTTTGAAGAGATAAATGAAGTGATCAGACTACAGGGATGTATACATGTACCTTACTATGTCTGCAGTATCCCCTCTGATGACCTCTTGGTTACTAATTGCTCAATGAGGAAAAAGAATACACAAAAGTTGTCCGTTACTGTGATTTTGCAGAAAAACATATCAATTTGATGATCAGGTAAAGCCTTTGTATTCAAACGTAGTCCTTTAGTTCAAACTAAAATGTAAAAACAAAAACCTGGACATCTGTGTGTTTGACCATGGAGCCAAAGCTATAGTGGTGTTTAGTCAGACAGGGAAACTCCAATTTAGATACACCGGTCATCCTTCTACTACCAAGGAAACTTTTAATCCAATGGACATCACTACGGACAGTCAAGCTCAAAATCTGACAGCAGACTGTACAAATAAACTTATTCACATCCTAGATAAGGATGGATAGTTCCTTTCTTATATTAATACCTGCAATTTTGCCGTTTCATTGGGTTTATGTGTAGACAGCAGAGACAATCTCTTTGTTGCTGAGTTTTCTTGTAAAGTGCAAAAAATTGAATACATATATATAATGTTTTGAAGCATATTTATCAATAAATTATTATTACATTGTATAGAATTACTTGTAATACGTCTATGATTAATTTGAATTGAAAGTTTGTAGGATCACATCAGTACTAACATTTCATTTTGATTTTAATGAGTTTAACTTTCATACTCGTTGAAAACATTTTCTCCTATGTAAACATTTATCATGTAAATTTTAGGGACTATTTTCCAAAAATATCTTTAATCGCTAACGGGAGAATTTCCAAGTTCAAGATCCACTTTTTCAATATTATCATTCCTTATGAATAATGTATTACGTTAGTCTACTTTATCAAAGACATATAAAATTAGTAAATTTTGTTATATACTCAGGTAGAATTTTATTGCATTATCACTGTAATTCTATAACAGCATCATGAGCATGTTGATAAAACCAAAACATTTGCTGCATAAGAGCATTTGCAATTGCATTCAATTACATGTACTGATAATTTAGCAATTTGTACATATACAATATACCATTAATTAAGTTATCCCTCTGTGATATCTACATGTATATATTTATCTATATTTGCTACATTGTATGTCAACATATTTCATATCACATATATTTCTTATTAAACTGTTAACTCTCCATGATTTACATGAGAAAGATATCATTAATAATCACTACCCATGGGTAAACACGTATCGGAGAATTTATTCACAGTCAACAAAGTCATCTATGCTGCAATTCTATTGCAGTCAATGGAATACAAATTGAACAGATGATATAGATCAACTTGATAAAAAGAATTAAAGTATGAGTTGAGCCTGCATGTTTATGTACTTTTTTTTCAAAAGATGCAGCTTCTAATCAAATGGACATTTCCAATATGCTACAAATGTTCTAACATATTTTAACTATATAAAAAAAAATTCATATGGAACGGTTAAATTTTATCCATTAGAATTCTAACAGGAATAGCCTAATTTTATCCATTAGAATTCTAACAATAAATTAACAATCTGGAATGGATTAAAAGACAAATAAATATTGTTGTCAATAACGTGCAGGTCAGAGGGCTTTCCTTCTTCCAGGATTTCCTCTAATCCATTGCATCTAAAATCAAAACGCAATCAAATCATTTCTACAAAACATTTTTTTAAAATTTAAAAAAACGAAAAAGAAGACATACATGTATATAAGTGTTATTTACCTTTGTACTTTTTTGAACGGAAGATCAACAGTCAGCTTGACCTTGGTGTGACCTCCAAAGCATTCATACAGTCTTAACACCAGAGCATTGTCCCTGTCTTCACTCTTTATTAAAAAACATGAATGCTTTTTTAAACTTACATGCATCTGTGAACAATTTTATAAGCATATTTTGGAGGATAAATGGTATTTTTCTTTGTACTATTTATTTGCTCTCCTTTTTATTGCAACTAATTATGGTATGCCATAAATATAGTTCTCACAGTACTTCTGGAAATTGAGCACCATTTCCGATGGAATCTTTACACATCCTTTTTTTTATTTGATGACATTTATTAACGTTTCATTTGATGCAAAATGTTACTACCTTATGTCCTTATTTCAGTTTTCCAAGAAAACAATTCGTATTTATTATTTAACATTGAACATATTGCTCAGTAAGCATAAAAGAGTTTTTCAAACTAAATGCATCTTCTACACATCCGCAGCTATTTATCATTTTAAATCCTTCCTGGGAAGTTTATGTCATCAAGATGGGAGATAGTGACGAATATCTGCATGTTCCTGCTGATAATTTGTACTCACCTTTTTGACAGTTTCCAAAATGACTTGTGGGTCATCAACAGAAAAGAAACTCTTGGGTTCTTGTAAACCCTTGCCAAGTTTAACAGTCTGCACATCTAGGGGGTTGTTTAATTCATAGGCTGCCTGTATCACCCCGGCAGACTGAAAACTTCCTGTAAAGTTTAAAATAAAAAGAAATGCCTTTTCTTCAGATTCAACACACACAATTAAAATTATTTAAGTAAAAATATGTTTATTGCTTTAAATTACTTATACTTGACATGGACATTATTTTCTGGAAAGAAAAGCACTGCATCCATAGGCAATTAATACATATCTTTCGAGCAAATTTTCATAATAACAAGAACTTGATTACCATACCAAAAGTCAATTGAAGTTCTTGCTCTTGAGGAAAAAATCATTATTAACAGACAGATCAAATCTTATCAAAAGATGGTTTATAAATTACCATTAGTTCTGTATAAAAAAAATTTCAATCATTAAACATTGTGTTTTTGTACGTTACCTTGGAAAGGCATGATAGCATATGTAAATGTATGGGTTCCCATGTCAGCATCCTTATCTGGTGATTTTGAAGATCTCAACCTACAGAGAATATGATGTTGATAAATATGATATGTATAGTGAATGGCTAATTCCACAATCATTATTGACCATTTTCAAGTCATTGTCTTTCACAAAATGTCAAGTTATCAAGAAGACACTACAATTAAGACTGCAATAGTTTTTTTTTCTATTTACGCTTCCCAACAAACACATCAAAAATCACAAAGTCAGACAAACTACAGACAAACTTCAATCAAAAAAGTTCATTTGAGCCTTTAGCCAAGTTTAGCTGAAAAAAGAAAATTTTACATTTGATATTAAAATAAGAATATCAGAAAATCTTACAAAGATAGTCTCATCACCCCATCTCTTGTGGAATAGCCATATTTGCTGTCATTCAAAATGGCCACTCCAAAGTTGTGCTCAGAAATGGCTGCCCATTTATGTCCAAACACCTGACAGAGAAGAACACAGTTTGAATGAAATGTGTCACATTTACAGTCCCTAGCTCCAATTAAAAGGGCAAAACTTACATTTCAAGCCTACAATAAACATATACCAAGATCAATTTATTTTTATGAACAACTACTGTTTCATCATAACTAACCTCAAACTGTGCCCAGTCCCAGGATGTGTTGTTATGATTGGTTCTCTGATAATGGCCAAACTGGACTTCATATGTGGCATTCATGGAGTGTACAGATGTTGGAAACTCCACTTTTAAGAATTTTCTGTTTTCATGCCATTTAACCTACAATTACCATATTATAGGGAGGAAATCAGAAATTATTGTAAATGTATATGTTGTAAACTAAAAGAGGCCTTTATGGTCACCTTCATATCGAAGGTTTCTAAGACTATAACCACGTAACTAGAACTGGATTTCTGGTCTCATGCACCAAAATCATTCAATTCTGAGAGGTCTCTACATCCATTATCATATTTATGTAGCTTCTCTTAAGGAGTTAGTTTTGAGTAAACAAAATAAGATCAATGGTAAATAAATTCAATAGGCTATATGATCAAAATTGACCCATCTTTAGGCATAATCCATAGGCCCAAAGGACAGGGATTTTAGAGTTTTTAATTTTATAAAGCGTTTGCTGCTCATTATTATCAGACAAACAATTTGCCTGCTAGACGTCTGCTGGTAAAGAAGACTTTCAAAGATATAATGTACTTTGATACATGTATAAGATAAATTAAGCACTGTTCTGCCAGACAATTATTGGTTTTGGGACCATAAATTTTCAAATTTCGGTTAAGAGAGCTTATTATAATCATGAAAATCAATTGCCTACAAAATGCCAATATCTTAAGAAGAACATTTTAAAAGATGGAATGTATTTTCAAAACATTTATATGACCAACTAGGCCCCTCCCTATGACCTGAGCTATGAACCTAGCTATAGAGGCCATGAATTTACAATTTTGGTAATACACTGAGTACTCATTATAATCAAGTGCACAGTTTGTCTGCTACATGTACGTATCTATAAAGAAGATTTTTCAAAGATATAATACATTTTCAAAATATGACCATATTAGCAAAACCTTGAAGCCTGAACCCTCAGACTGAGGACCATAACGTTTCACAATGTTTTGCAAAGGGCTAATTGCGTATCAAAGCATCCTGGATTTCCGGGAGTGAAGAAGATTTTAGAAGATTGCATTAATTTTGATGGTTTTGGTCCTGCTCCTTTGCATGGTCCCAGGGAAGTAGAGATCATGAAATTCAAATTTTACTCCCTTTACTCGTATATGCTACATGTACATAGCAAAATTGGTAGAAAGTGGTTCAGCCATCTCATAAAAGATGCTGTAAATTTTCAAAAGTTTACGCCCTGGCAAATTTGACGGATGTTTAAAAAACAGCTAGCAATAAGTCACCTGAGCAACTCATTGACTTAAAATTTAAGTGTGATTTAACATTTTATTGTAAAATTAATATTATAGTATTTGACCAAAACGTAATGATAGGATAAGCTAATTTGTTACCATTGTATAATATTAATTTATTTCATTTCAATTCTTAATTCAACAATAATACAGTTGAACTTCGGTATCTCGAACACTGATATCTCAAATACTATGGATATGTCAAAGTGATTTGAAGTCCCAACCACTTATTATTTATATATTTTATCCTCAATATCTCGAAGTTTTTTCTTGGTCCCATTGAGTTTAAGATAACAAGGTTTGACTGTAATTGAACAATTGTGTCTTTATTTGTATTGTGTTCTCTTTAATACAAATATAAAAAATGGTATGCTTTCTTTGATAACAATTTATTTCAAATATACAAACTTTAATATTCTTTTTTTTTCTCTGTGACACTGAGCTCACCTTAGTGTGACACCTGAGATAAGGACTGCCAGCGTCCAGACTGATCACTTGTTCTATAGAGCTCTGGTCACTGATCTTCAGCTGGATGACCACAGACACCCTCAAAGGACCACTGTCCAGAACCTCTGCTGGCTTGATAGAGGTCACAATTGGTTTCCTGAAAATCATGTGGGATACATTTACTTCTTATAAATCTCATTAAAAGAGTACTTGCTTGAAGACGAACACAATAATAGAATATCGCATACCAAAAATAAATCATTTTTCTAAAAAAAAAATAATATGACATATCTTCAAGTCTTAGAGTCACTTATCCTTGTAAGGGACTTAACATTCTTAAATCATATCGTCTTACTTTAACTCTTGTTATATATGCAAGCGAATCAAAAAAATGATTCAACTGTAAAAATTCATTTCTAAATTTAGGAAAGAGACCAAAAAACATTTTCTGGACATTATTTTAAAAGTACATGTAATTAAATATTAGTTTACAAAATTTTAAATAAGCAACCTGCTGTTCTTTTGTAGGACTTTAGGAATACAAAAATCTGCATGGCATTCACTGTATCCCTGGTTTGACAATTACCTGGTTTCTAGATGATAATCCATTACATCCCATGCATCCCAAAACAGGGGAATGTCATCATATAGTACAAACTGGTTACCATAGCCAAAGGTCTCACTACTCATTGCATTTCTGGAAGAAATGTCAGTTATTCATATTTAAGAAAAGAAAAATTTAATAGTGACCTGATCTGCTTTTAAAATTTCTATGTCAAGTGATCTCAAATCTATAGATGTCCCTGACAATTATGTACCTATACAGATGATATGAAGTCTAGGTTGAAAAACAACGAACTGTTTGAGTCACATAAAAAATTATTCATGAAAAAATAATTACCACTACAGGGAGGAGATATTGGCTTTGCCATTTTTTTCTGTATGTCCATCTGTCTGTTTTTCTGTCACAAAGTCATGTCCTGGCTATAATTCTGAAACCCACACTGATGAAATAGATTCAAGCCATATTTTGTTGTCCATGGCATAGAATACCACAGTCTTGAACTTATGTCACATACCAGTTAGAGTATAGGACATAGAATATATAGATTTTGTCCACAACATATCTCTGGGACCCATGACTGGAGTGGAGTCAAATTTCACTTCGTTGTTGCCCATGAACTATAAGTGACAAGTCGTGTTTATGCCTGCATGAAGACTGAATCTCAAAAGTCACAAGGAGTTATTGAAATTACATCTAAAACTTGCAACCCAGTAATATAATCTTGATACATGATGTTAGCCAAGTGGTTCAAAAATCTAATTTTTTTTTCTTTTTCTAACCTTTCTCCACCTTTGCAATAAATATATACTCTTAAAGACGAAAAGTACGCAAGTTGTCATATGTCATGAAATACAGGTAGTCAATGTTTACTGTCATTTTTGAACCCTAAATACAGTGGTATTTGTTTTATTTGTAAATATTTTAGATAGTGTTTTTACTCAGTAAGATATTAAAATATAAATATTGAGCAGTGTTAATGGCTCATCAGTATAGTATTGTTTGTAAAAACATTGTGAGTCAAAGGTACATGTACTTATTCCTCAGTAAAACAGTAACTGCATGGTTAATCGTAGAATCAATTGACACTTGGTCATTCAATCACATTAAATTTCATTGTATTTTTTTTCATAAAAATTCCATTCTAATTCTATTAAAATACGAAGTGGTTGGAATAAAAATTCTGCTATTTCATTAGTTGTACGAGGGTTGTTCGGAAAGTTCGTGGACTACCGTCATAACTTTTTTACTTAACGTCATATTATATCCAAATTTGGAAGAGATATTTCTACAGTAAATTCAAATGATGTGTATTATTTTTTTTTTAAATATCGTGGTTTATTTTAAACTTATTTAGACTTGAAAAATGTGAAAATCGGACCCTGGAGCAGGTCAAAATTTTGTAATTTACAATCAAGACACTAAATAATGTCTGAAGTCATATCTTCTGTAAAATGACACAAAAACGGAAAAATCCAACACGTTCAAATTAAGAATTGTTTCATCGTTTCCGATTCCGATTCCAAATTATGACATAATATATGAGGTAGTCCTCATTGAAAAAGGCAAAAAAGATAACCTCGTAGAACGTCACGGAGCAGCATTTAACCATATAATTTTGTGTTGTACTTTGGAAAACTCCAGAGAAAAACTCTGAAAATGCTGGAGGAAGTAAGAAATATGTCAAAAGCGAGCCATGCATATGTGTGTACATGGTACAAGCGGTATTTGAATGATAGACTACTCGGCTTAGACGACGGTGTTCTGTGAGAAAACGGATTATCTGTAAAAATATTATCAAAATCATTGAAAAGTTAGTAACGTCAAAAAGAGTTTGGCGCTTCACAGATATGCAGTGAAAAAAATAAAACATTGACAAACAACATGATGATACTGGAGCAATTATTAGCAAAATAGATTTCAAGTGATAGAGAAACGTTTTTAATGAGTGCATTGGTATTGGGCAATACTGTGTGGAATGTATAGGGATAGTATTTTTGAGAACCTTATGTCGGTACGTTTTTGACGTTACAGTGTTGTTGAGTTTGCTCCGTGGTTACAAAACGTATTGATTTTAAAATTAAATAACATGAATTCTATTAAAACACATGAAATAAAACTTTATATATCAACAAAATAAATATTTTTACATATGGTAATGTGCTCATTTTAAATTTTTTGAAGATAGTATAACGAAGACTGGCATAGTCCACAAACTTTCTGAACAACCCTCGTAATTGTCACTGAATCATACCTCATGAGAATAAGAAGTTAGAAGTATACATATTGTGAGTTATAATATAATAATAACTGCTGTAATACCTAAATGTTCCAGCATTCAATCGTAAGGTCGTTATCCTCCCTAGTTGATCAATCTCTGCCCAGATAGACTCATTCTGTAGGACACATGAACTACTCGTCATTGTAGCAGTGCAGTAGATGTCATCACTCTTGATTGGTTTCACCAGGGCATACCCATAGCTTGGGACTGTTACCATGGCTACATATAAAAAACAGTGAAAAAAAAATCACAGTGAATTAAATGAGAGTATATATATATATATATATATATATATATATATATATATATAAGGTGGACTTTGGCATAAAGTAGACCGCACTTATTTTGAGGCATTAAGTAGACATTTTTCATTTCTTTCATTTGAGACATTCTGATTCACACTTTCACCCAAATTTATTCTAATAGGCTTCAAAAATGAAAATTTTACCCCCTCAGCCCTAAATGTTGCTTCCTGAAAAATATACAACATTTCTGGTCTCCTTAATATTTTGTAAATACATTGGAGGTTTTAGGTAGACATGTATATATTTTATGAGGATCCCGAAGGGTTAAAGTAGACCAAGTATATATAATGCATAAAGGAGACCAGAATATATATATATACGTGATTATGTAGACCATTTTCTTTTTTCTAATTATTTAAATAAAAAACTACACATGCATAAATGTACTTCTCATACCAGTATTTATTGGTCAATTTGCATTTATCTTAAGTAAAATATTAGACACTTTAAAACCCAGTATGATGATTCCTTATTTTAACTAGAAGGAACTAATTGGGTGATGTCTATTCGTAGACAAATTTTCATGTCCTGAATCTTATGGAAATATAGTAAATGACCGACAGTAATTGTAACGTTAAGAAAATATTTCATCCACCACCAAAGAAACACATTGATTTAAAACTTCGTACTCACATGATGACTTATGGTATAAAATCATCATCTAAGCCACAATCACCTGTACATGCTAGATATGACCTCTTGAAACTATAACCTTGTACTTTTCTAAAAAAAAAATTGTATTTTAGAATTTTATATATCCAGTTTATGTCATATACTCTGAGCATAATGAACCCTAAGATAATATAATCTTTGGAATTTATTTTATAGTGGACAAAAATTGAACTTGATGCAGGGTTGTTATACATCCCCAAGTCACAATTATCCCTTTGCCTTGATTTACATCTAGCATAACAATAATGTGATTGCCCGCTTGGCGCAGTGGTCAGAGCATTTGCTCTAGAGCAGTGGAGTAAGGACTTGTTCCTTAAGTCATAGGTACAAATCCCACTGTAGGACGTGGAGACCGGTTCTTCCAATGAAACCAAATTCCCTTGTTGCAGTATATGCTGGGACAAGAAAAGACCTCTCACTGCTCAAAAGTACAGGTCTAAATTTGCAGCCCTCAACCAGCAAGTTGTGGTGTCTCAATACTAGTGAAAAATTCTTAAAGGATGTATAACAAACAAACAAACAGAATTATGTGTTTATCTGAATATTTATTACATTTCTAAACCCTATGGCCTTGACCTGTATTAACCTGTGTTAGGACCATACTCTGAGGTTACAATTATTGGTAAGTATTTAATACTTTGATATACAGTGACTATGACCTTGTGCAAAAGACCATTACTACTGGGTCTAGAATATTTCTGGCCACAAGCTACCTTTGTTTCAAAAGATGTCTACTCACAGAAGACACGTAGACTTCACAATTCCAGTAACTTCATTTGTTGTTGTATAAAAATGTCAATATTTCCCCATGCAAAAAAAAGTTTGTAAAACAACCCCTTTTCTTCTCATGTCTAAGATCTCTATCCTAAATACACATTTGTCACAGTCACTGTCTACTGAATTCATAAATCTAAAGGTAGTTCATACAGCCTTATTTTAATTCATATTCTTGTGTCTTTAACATCATTACACATATAATTTTTCCATGTTTGAATAGACAATAAAAATTGGAAACCATAAATACAATGAATTAGATTTGTTATAACTGTAACAAATAATGCAAATATGTGCAAGTCATGTAAAATTTCATTTTATTTGTAAATGTGTATTACATTGGTGACATTTGTATACTGTTCAATATATGCATAAGGACTTCTATTATTATCAATCTTCACACCATTAGTTTTGTATAAAGTAATAAATAACTAGTATTTTGTACACAAACATAACATCAATAAAAATAACAATCTTTTACATATCTATAAATATACATAAGAGGAATAAAACACTATTTTGAAATCATCATTACATTTTCATTTCTTGTCAATTAAAAAAATGAATAGCATTATTAAACTATTACAACATGTTTTAAACCACAATGTGTGTTCTAAAATGCATTATATACAAAGTGAGATGCATTGATTAACTGTTCATTGTAAGTTGAAATGAAGTTATTACTTATAAAAACACTTTGCATTAAAAAGCAATCTTTACATAGTTTATTTGATGAGAATATTCCCTCAAACAATAAACTGGCAAGATGTAATACAGACTCTGAAATACCTATACCACCTATTTCAAATAGTACAGTTTGCATTTCATCCATGAGATTATTGACCTTGAAAAATTATGTTTTCTTCTCTTTGAAAGGAACATGTGTGCTATGAAAGGGATATATTAAATAATGTTATTACAAGACATACAAGTAATTTTTATCTTGATAAAAAATGGTGACCTTCTCATGTCAATTAAGAGAACCATTTCACACAATTTGTGCTAGAATCTCATCTACAAGGTGTTGGCAGACAGGCTACCATACTAATACATCCCTGTAAATGAGTTGTAAATATAAAAGTAGTACCTGAAAGTCATTCAGAAAAAAAATTAAAAAGCTGGCTTAAAGATGCTACATTTGTCAGCTGAAATGCATCTTTCACAATACATTCCTAGCATATAATTTTGTGCATATTATATGGTATAATGTTTTTGTTGTTGTTTACAGAGCAAAAATAAAAAGTATATCCATGTACAAATGTACAAGAGGGCAAAACTAGAAATATGTCCATAGGACATGAATGCCCCGCTGAGGGTATATTAATTTTTATTTGCTTGTTTATTGTTTAACATCCCTCTCGAGAATTTTTCACTCATATGGAGACGCCACCACTTGCCAGTGGAGAGCTGCAAATTTTGACCTATACTCGGCACTAAGGGCCATTAAGCAGTGAGGGATCTTTTTCGTGCCAGCACCTACTGTGACATGGGACCTCGGTTTATACGGTCTCCACGTCCCACAGTGGGATTCGAACCAGCGACATAAGGATCAACTCCTTACTCCGCAACTCTAGAGCTTTAACCACTGCACCATGTGGGCATAATAGTAATGCAACACAAAAATATTTTTAGTGTATGAAATTTGATGAGAATATCTTAAAATAGTTTCTTTAACATTGAAATCGAAAAAGTTGGATATAGATGATAAATTCTCACCAAATTCTGTTAAGTGCATAAGCTCACATAAAATTATCTTTAATGGTTTCTTTAAAACTAAGTAAAATGCAAATTTAAGAAAAGTGAGGTCCAGGTCACAGGAAAGTTCAAGGTCATACATTTTTGATGCAGTTGAATAGTTCTCACTAATACGCATAAGCAAAATAAGTTTGATAAAAATATTTTGAATGGAAACCGTTTATTTAACACTGAGCTAATCACTATTTCAAGAAAAATGAAGTCAAGGTCAAAAATGTTGATACAGTTGAATACCTTACATCAGTCTGTATCAGCATATGACGTTTGACACTAATTTAGGAAAAGTGAGGTGAAGGTCAAAGGAAAGATCAAGATCAAAAAATGTTGATGCAGTTGAATAGCTCTCATCAGTATGTATCAGCAAATGAAGTTTGATTACGCTATCCTGAATGGTTTCTTTAAAACTGAGCTAAACACTTATTTAAGATAAGTACGGTCAAGGTCAAAGGAAAGGTCAAGGTAAAAAATGTTGATTCAGTATGTATCAGCATATGAAGTTTGATTACACTATCTTGAATGGTTTCTTTAAAACTGAGCTAAACACTAATTTAAGAAAAGTGAGGTCAAAGTTAAAGGAAAGGTCAAGGTAAAAAAATGTTGATGAAATTGAATACCTCTCATCAATATGTATCAGCATATGAAGATTGATAAAAATATCTTGAATAGTTTCTTTGAAACTTAGTTTTGAACTGAGCTAAAAGCAAAGCGGAATGGAAGGACAGACAGAAGGTTGGAAGGACGGAAGACGGACATGACAAACTCTATATGCCCCAGCCATATTCATGGCAGGGCAGAAAAATTTCTAGTGTACTGAAATTCAAAACTGCAGTAATTGATAATTTGTTTTTTTTTTTTTTAATTTTAATTCAATATCAAAAAACATATACAAACTTTTTTGATAATTTATTCTATTCAAAGCAATAAGAAATGCATCTGTCTGCACTGCTTAAAATTGATTAGAAGGTTATGACATAACTAAAATAATGACCATGTCCACATTAAATTTAAAATATAATGATTGACAATTCACTTCACCTTTTCTTTGGCTTTCATTCCATTGACTTTTCTTTCTTTAAAAAATTGTGCTTGTGTAGTACTCCATCTCTAAAAAATAACATGTAAATGAAAGTTTATGGCACTCAATGAACTCTCTCATCCCTTCCTTTACTGTTCAAGAAAAAAAAATGCATACCACAAGCATAGTTTAAACATGTAACTAGACTTTATGATATTTTCATACATAATGTCACCAACTTTATAAAGAATTGTGAATGCATTTCAAAGGTGAGCACATGTGAATTGAATTAAAAGTACCAGTATTGCGAGTATCTCGCAGTTATCTAACTTACAACCGCTCTTTAGCATGGGAGTCGAGGAAGCTCTAAATCTCACAAGATTTCTGGGCATAACATTACAGCGGTGACAATTGAATGATTCGAACAATCATTATTCCCAAACTACAATGTATTGCCAAGAGTTGAACTCCAAATAGTAGATTGTCAAATAAGGAAAGTTTAGAGTATTTTATCAACTTTCAAAAGTAATGATTTTCATTTAGAATTTAATAAGAAAAGTCCGCTTAGTAAAAAGTATCGTAAAAAATGTAACATATAGGACTAGCTCCTCTCAAAAATTTATTAGGCTGGTTCAGCGCATATTTAGCAAGATATTTCTCTAGGATTTCTTTCTTATTATAGTACACTGCCCCCATCC